GGAATCAAGAAAGATGAGGTAATATTGCAGGAGAGGAGGTAGTCACCATTGTAGCAAGAAACCAAGAAAGACGTGCAACTCCGGATTGCATCAGAACGGGACAGGTGACTACTGCATAATGTAAGGAGGACTCCCCTCACCATGAGCACAAACCTTACACTCTGTAAAGTGAGGTGCCGACGGCGGGGGCGGGGCTTTTGATACTTTGAAAGCGGTGAGGAATTGAAAAGGCTTGATCCGACACGTGTACGATCTACGTACAGTAGCTACGTGCCGTATGATACGGCGGTTCTGTAATGCGGGCGGGCGTTGAACACGTGTTCGAGTATGTAACACGTGTGAACGTGTATGGGGGACGGGTGCCTCTGCAGGACTAAGGCGTCCGTGATTGGCTATCGCCCGCGCCGTGCCGGTCCACCAGCGACTCGTGGGGTGGACAGCTTCCTCGAGCATCGGCCAATCCCCTTGCTCCACTGCATCGCGCATCGTCCGCCCGCCCTGTCCACTCCCTTCTCCAGTCGTGTGCTCCTTTAACCGCCGCCCTGTCTCCCTCCCTCTCGCTCCTCCCCCACCGCCCCTCCCCCCCCCGCTTTTCCCTTCCGTCCCCCTTCGCCACGCCCGCCATGCCGCCGGCCGCGCCCTCGCTGCACACGCTCTCCGCGCGCGTGGCGGCCTTCTCGCGCTCGCTCGACTCGCTGTCGCGGTCGGAGCGCGTCTTCCGCGCCTCGGTAGACTCTGTGTCGCGCTCGCTGCACGGGTTTGCGGCGGCGCACGCGCGGTCCGACGCGCACCTAGCGCATCTGGTCGCGGCGGACACGCGGCGCGCGCGCGACGCGACGGACGAGTACGACGCGCTGGCGGCGCGCTTCGAGGACGCGCTGCGCCCGCACGCGGCGTCCAAGCGCCGCCAGTGGGTGCGCACGGCCGCCTTCTACGCGGGCGTCCTGCTCAGCGTCGTCCTCATGGCCCCGCTCCACCTCCTCGTCAGCGTCGCCGAGCGCGTCCTCCGCCGCATGGGCTACCACACCCGCAAGAGCGCCCCGCCGCGCTACGCCGCGCCCCCGCAGACCCGCCCGCTGCGCGACGCCCCGCGCAGGGGCGCCCCGCGAACGCACGCCTCGGCGAGCGACAGGTCCACGCTCGGGTCAGACTCGTCGCACTCCGGCCCGGAGAGCCTGGGCTTGGACGCTGTCCCGCCGCGCGAGACGGATGCCGCCCCGCCCCGGAGGCACCCGCCCGCAGACCATCCTCGGAAGGGCCCGCCTGGGGAGGGCCACCCCCCGCTGCGAGAGACCCGCGACGAGAGCCCGAAGGAGGACGCCGAGCGCGCGGAGAGCAGCGCTGAGGGCTACTCGCCGACCGGCAGCGCGCGCCCGGACTGGGCCACGCCGTTGGACGATGCCGCGCCGGAGATTGGCGCCGTCCGCTTCCCGGAGCCTGACTTTTGGAATATCTCCGATGACGATATCCGCATCGAGAGACTCAAGGCAGAGGAGGACTCGCTCGCTACCGAATGACATACATGTAGCCGTGGCCTGTGTAGAATAGCTTAGATACTCTCGACCGGTTTTTCGAAGACCCTTGTCGCCGCCCGCACACGAAACGTAGAAACACGATCCCCAAATTTCCCGCCCCTGCACCGCCGTATCATACGGCGCATTCCCCCTCATCCCGACCTCCACAAGGCACCCCCCCTCCCCCCAGGATCTGCCACAGATGCCGCCGAAGTAACCGCGAAAGATAGACAAGTAGAAGCTTCTAAAAAGCAGTCCTCTCCAAACGGCCCCTCTCAGCCTGTCAAGAAGACGAAACAAATCTCTCTCTCGACTGAGAACCATTCTATCGTTGCGGCGAGCTACAATATTCGTTTCAGCGAATATTCGCGCAGGTGCACGTGATCTGTCGAGCGGCACAACGTTTTATCAGACTTGCGTTTGTTGTGGGCAGTCACCCTGCTGGAAGTCAGTCGGCAAAACCCGTGGCGGAATGTTTCACTCTCGGGTTCGCTTTACGTCCAGCCATTTTGTGGG